CCTACCCCTGCCCTGGACCTGGAGGGGGCGTCCCCCGGGTCGCCGGAGCGTCGAAAACGGCCTCAGCGGGCGGGCCTGAATTGCGCAGGCACGGCGGGCATCCCCGCCCTGCTCGTCGAGCTCCTCGGTGGCGTCGTTTTTTCTGTCCTGCGCTGCCGTTGGCTGTTCCCGCCGGGCCACTGCGGAGATATCTCCGCCCCACGCCTCCGAGGCGGAAACTTCCAGCCCTACTTGTTCGCATCGCTTGGGGTGAATGTGCAACACTTCGGAATCGGAAGATCCACCAAAACACGGCAGATCCGAAGCCCAGGGCAGGCCAGAACTGCACCGACTCGCGAAGTCAGATCGCAGCGAGAACGGATCGGATCGCCAACGAACCTTCCCGAATCGAATCGGAGTCGGATCGCCGTGCCTGGCTGGCTCCCGCTGGCCCTGGCCAGGGAAACGAACCGAGCCGAGTCGAGCCGAAATCGCGGCCCCGGCTAGCGAATCGAATCGCATCGCATCGGATCGTGGGCGGCCCTGCCTGGGTCGAAAGCCAGAGAGCGCCCTCTACGTCTCGCGATGCCAGCCGTTGCCTCTGCCCTGGCCGACCCCCCCTCAGTAACATCAAGATTCGTGTCGGCCCCGTCTGGGAACGCGTAGGGCTGGCAGAGGACGCCCGCACAGCAGGTATCTACCCCGATCTGCTGTGGCAGAGCGTGCTCCAAACTATGGATATTCCGAGACCTGCGTCGGACAGCTACGGATAGCTAAACGCAACTTGGGGGTTGCTGATCATAGTATCAGGCGTTTGCTTTATCCTCACTCGTCCCTCCACCTCTTGCTCCTCTCTCCTCCTCCTCCTCCTCCTCCTCCTCCTCCTCCTCCTCCTCCTCCTCCTTATCCTCCTCCTCCTCCTCCTCCTCCTCCTCCTCCTCTCTCCTCCTCCTCCTCTCCTCCTCCTCCTCCTCCTCCTCCTCCTCCTCCTCCCTCCTCCTCCTCCTCCTCCTGCTCCTGCTCCTCCTCGTCCTTTTCTTCCTCCTCCTCCCCCTCCTCCTCCTCCTCCTCCTCCTCCCTCCTCCTCCTCCTCCTCCCCCTCCTCCTCCTCCTCCTCCTCCCTCCTCCTCCTCCTCCTCCTCCTCCTCCTCCTCCTCCTCCTCCTGCTCCTGCTCCTGCTCCTGCTCCTGCTTCTTCTCCTCCTTTTCCTCCTCCTCCTCCTCCTCCTCCTCCTCCTCCTCCCCCTCCTCCCTCCTCCTCCTCCTCCTCCTCCTCCTCCTCCTCCTCCTCCTACTCCTCCGCCTCCTCCGCCTCCGCCTCCGCCTCCGCCTCCTCCTCCTCCTCCTTCTCCTCCTCCTCCTCCTCCTCCTCCTCCTCCTCCTCCTCCTCCTCCTCCTCCTCCTCCTCCTCCTCTCCCTCCCGCTCCGCTCCTATCGCCCTCGCCCTCCTCATTGCATTGTCGAAGGTGTGCTTCACACAAGGATGTAGCAACGGCAGGAAAACGAAAGAAGGGAAGCGGGGGCGAGGCAGGCAGGGCCAGGCCGAAACGACCTGGTTGATTACACTGGTGCTATCGACTCGTGCTCCGGGAGGGGTGTGGGCGCCCCTGGGGCTCGAGGGGGGAAGCGGCCTCGTCGTCGTCGTCGCCGTCGCCAACGTCCTGCCCTTGCTCTTCCTTGTGCTCCTGCTCTTGACGTCTTATTCCTCCTCATTGCGTTGCAAAGTGCCTCACTGCCCCATAAAGCGCGCACCGCATCGCTGAGGCGCGCTGGGGTTGAGCGGAATGGAGCATTCGAGATACACGCCGGCCACTTCGAACTCAACCTGTTCAACAGCGCACCGCATCCCGTTCCCTGGAGGATCGGCTCGCGAACGAGAATCTCAAGCTGGGTGTCCACAGCACTCCAGGAGACTGGAAATACACGCGGTTGGAAGCACATTAGGAGCACGCGGAGGCCAGTTGCTGAATATACGCGCGCGGATGCCTGGGGTACTTGGCCGCGCGCGGGCCGATCTCTGAGGAAGACGTGCGGCCACATATGTGTACCCAGCTCTCGCCCAGGCTGGCCACGTCATGTGCGCACACGGCTTCGTGGTACGAAGAGCACGGAACACATGCCCCGTTCTGTTGAGGTCCGTTGTCCCAACGAGGCGGGAGCGCGATGACGACGCCGACGGGGCGAAGGATGAAAGGATGGTGAGGAGGGATGAGAGAGGAACGAGGAGGAGGAAGGGGAGGAGGACAAGAAGGAACGGAGGAAGGAGGAGAGGAAGAGGAGGAGGAGGAGGAGGACGAGGAGGAGGACGAGGAGGAGGAGGAAGAGGAAGAGGAGGAGAAACGAGGAGGAGGAAGAGGAGGAGGAGGAGGAGGAGGACAAGACGGAGAAGAATGGAGAGGCGCTCTGCCGTACACAAATCCTTGCAGGTGTGCGCGATCTGCCGTAGACGATCCCTATGAACATCTGCGATCCCCACTTTATCTGGCTATTCATAGGCCTTCACAAATGGTGGCACTGGTGCGAAACGCGACGTGACCGAGGCTAAATAACGTGACGCCCATCATCACCCGGCTATGAAAAAAACGCTCTCCTGGGAGCGTCTTTCTCTCGCCGTGGGAAAAACGGGGATCATCAAGGAACCGGGTTCCTGAGGTTTCTGCTCGTTTTCTGGCCCACGGGGCCATCCCTGGGCTCCGGGGTCGTCCGAAACCGGCTCGGAATGAAGAGCTGAGCCCAGGAAAAGCCCCATGGCCCGAAAAGGTGTCCCGAGGGAAACAAGTCCTAGGTCTTAGGGCGTTTCCCGGGACAAAAATCCCATCCTGACGGACGCTCGAAGGGCCCAGGGAAGGCCCAGAGGGCACGAAAACGGCGAGACATCTCAGGACCCCGTTTCCCTGAAGACCGCGTCTTCTACGTCTGCCGCCTTCCGCCGTCCTTCTGCTGGCTTCCGCTGGCGGAGTGGCCGGCTTGCGCCAAAAGCGAGGATGCGTCGAAAAAGGAACCTTTTTTGTAACGCCCGGGGTGCGGTAAGTCGTGCATGGATCGTGAAGGCGTGTCGACGCTCCTCGGCGCTGCTGCCAACTCGTTGGCCTCCGGAGGCCTCTGGGGACCTCTGGGGGGGGGGGTGCGCGCTGCAACCAATGGGGCCGAGGGGGCCGTGGGCCCAACGGGCCCACTGGCCCTCCCTCCCTCCCACCCACCCGTCAATGCAATCGCACGCGGCTCGCCCGAGATGCCTCGACGTGACGGGGTTGTCCCCCCCCTTCCCGGCTGCCTCGTCCAGGCCTGCGGGCACGGCCACTCGGTCTGCAGTCCTGCCTGGGTCACTACAGAGATGAGCCCCTGACCTTCCCCGACGCGTCTAGGCACTGATTGCGTCGGCAAGAGGTTCAAGGCCTCCGACAAAGTGCAAAAACCCTGCTTGAGGTCGCAGTGGATTCCTCGACACCTCGTCGGAGCGTAGATCCTCCACCGCAGTTTGCAGCAGCGATCGCGAGTGAGATCTCAATTCTGATTTTCACATTCAACACATTGCCCCGCCAACGCAGTACAATGGAAGGCCACCCTCAAACAGAATTCAATGAAGCATCGCTCATGGCTCGAAACCTACACGCTTTTTGGCTACCCATGGGCACGTACCTTCCTCCAAGGCACCTCTCTTTCCAAAGACGGACGGCCACGACTGGGTGAAGACGAACCCAAAGATGACGCAAGACACGACCCCACACAGAGACTGCCGTGCACGGCCGCCTGACGACCCGGCGACTCCTGACGGGCATCCGGCTCTGGCACCAACGGACTTCCAAGTCGCCCTCCAAAAATACCCTCCGAGGCCCAACAACTCGCACCATGAGCATAAGTGGTTCCGGGCTCCAGTCGTTCATCAGAAGGGTCCGCCTTGCCCTAGGGTTAGGTCGGGCCTGTCCTCCTACAGGGGGATCTTGGGCGAACAAAAACTATAGACTCTGAGCAATACCCCGACACAATCAAATCATACTAAAACAAAACATCGTCCCCTGATCGCATTTCAAAAAATATATTTGAGTATTCCTCCTGTAGATGGACAGGCCCGATTTAAGCCTTGCCCTAGGGGGGGAGTTGGAAACTCTCCGGCCCTCGACCCCTCCAGCAGGATGCAGACCCTGGCGCCGCCAGCAAGTTGCGCGTCCGTGTTGCGTTTGGTTTCAAATGCCTGCGGCGACGGGGCAAGCTGGACCAACATGGCCTCTGGCACGTTACACGCCAGTCAGAAGAAGTAGGTAGAAACATGAAGTAGGAAGGCGGATATAGTGGATTGGGTCCAGGTCCTCCCAGAAAATAACAAAACACAGCAAAAGCATGCCGATTCTTGAAGTAGGACGGCGCTCGAAGTAGATTGGGCTCTGGGAGTCCAAAAAGACCTACTTTCAACGACCAGCGTGTACATACACTGACATGCCTTTGGTCGTCGGCTGATGCTTGCCTCCTCGCAATGTTGGTATCCCCGAGGCCCTGGAATCCCGAAGATCGTTAGAAAATGGCCCACAAGGGCCTTCGGGCACTTCCAAGGGAAGCCCAAAGTGGCCGCACCCCGAGAGAGCCCCAGGAGGGCTTCAGTAGGGCTCCAGGAGACCCTCACCGGCGACACGGAGGCTCCCAGAGAGGACCCCATAAGACCCCAACCAGGCGCCAAAACAGATCCCGGCAGGCACGCAAAAGGAGCACCACAGGCGGCTCACAGATGCCCCCCGGACGCCTCCCCGTCGAGCGGCCCCACGAGCCATATGTCCCACGGTGGCGCAACAGGTGCAAGCTCGAGCAGCCCCCGAGGGGCCCCGGGCCGCCCTCCTCCCGCGACGCCCAGCGAGAAGCCCCAAGCCGCCGCAAGGTGCGAGCGCAGCGTGCGGCGGTGCGGCGCCGCAGCACTGCCCGGGCTGCTCCCGCGCGCCCGGCGGCGGGACCTGCGCAAGACGGCGCGGCTGGCTCGCAGCGCGCGGCCTGCGACGGAGCTGCCCCTGCGGCGCGCCGCGGGCCGCCCCGCCCTCACGCCTGCGCGGGGATGATCGGCGAGAAGACCAGCCGCGTCTTGTAGGCGGCCAGGGCCACGCCGGCGCTCTGCCCGTCGGAGCGCCGCGGGGGCGGCAGCACCGAGGCGGTCTGGATGGCCTGGATGACAAAAGGGCGCGTGCCGTCCACGGCGCCCATGCCGATCTTGAAGAGGCCCGTGGGGGTCTGGTCCGGCGGCACCGTGCGGTAGACGGTGTCCACGCGCACGAGGGCGGAGCCCAGCATGCCCACGGGCGCGACCACGGCGTCGGCCCGGAAGAACTCCTTGGCCCGGTACCTCGTATACACGGAGAGAGAGCGCGGGTCCATGGAGGGAGCGCGGGTCCTGGACCCCCGGGCCTTCCCCCTGGACCAGCTCTACTTCCTGAGCCGCTCTCGAACGGCCCCGGGGCCCGTGGAGGGCCCAGGGAGCCCAGAGGCAGAGGAGAAGACTGATGGGGCAGGCGGTGGCAGCGCCAACCCTCCGACGCTTCTGACGCTTCTGACGCTTCCGCCGCTCCTGGCGCTACAGGCTCCAAGAGCTTCGCGACGCTTCTGACGCTTCTGACGCTTCTGACGCTCCTGGCGCTCCTGACGCAACGGGTCCCGGGAGCTTCGACGCTCCTGACGCTCCTGCCGCTCCTGACACTCCTGACGCTCTTGAGCTTCGGACACTTCAGGAGCTTCAGAAGCTTCAGAAGCTTCAGAAGCTTCAGAAGCTTCAGAAGCTTCAGAAGCTTCAGGAGCTTCGGAAGCTTCGGGTACTTCAGGAGCTTCAGGAGCATCGGAAGCTTCGAGAGCTTCAGGAGCGTCAGGAGCGTCAGGAGCATCAGGAGCGCCAGGAGCGCCGGGAGCGCCAGGAGCGCCGGGAGCGCCAGGAGCGCCGCGAGCGCCAGGAGCGTCGGGATAGCCAGGAGCGTCAGGAGCGTCAAGAGCATCGGGAGCGTCTGGAGCGTCGGGAGCGTCGGGAACGCCGGGAGCGCCCGGAGCGTCGGTAGCGTCACCAGCAGCGTCAGGAGCGTCAGGAGCGTCGGGAGCGTCGGGAGTGTCAGGGGCGTCAGGAGCGTTAAGAGCGCTGGGAGCGTCGGGAGCGGCAGGAGCGTCGGTAGCGTCGGGAGCGGGAGCTTTCATGGTGGAGGGCCTATGGGGGCCGCCCGGGGCGGGAGCGAGGGCAGCCTCCCTGCACGGCAGCTTTCGCATGGTGTGCTCTCTGGGGGGCTTCCCGGGGCGGAGGCAGCCCCCCCCCGGCGGAAATTGTCGCATGGCGTAGAGCCGGGGCTGCAATTGTCCCATGCGGAAGCTCCCTCCGGGAAGGCTGCCCGAGCCTGCGAAAAGTCCCGTCTAGAGAGGCTGCCCAGGCTCCTGCCCCGGGGAACCCCCAGAAGCCATGCGGAAACTCCCGCTCTCGACGCTCTCGACGCTCCCGGCCCTCCCGGCACTCCCAGCGCTCCCGACGCTCCTGACGCTACTCAACGCTCACGGCGCTCCTGACGCTCCCGACGCTCCCAACACTTCCCAACACTTCCCGACGCTCCCGACGCTCCCGACGCTCCCGACGCTCCCGACGCTCCGACGCTCCCGACGCTCCCGACGCTCCCGACGCTCCCGACGCTCCTGACGCTCCTGACGCTCCTGACGCTCCCGACGCCACCGACGCTCCCGGCGCGCCTGACGCCTCTGACGCTGCTGACACTGCGGAGTTTCAGATGCTTCGGAAGCTCCGGAGGCTTGGTGGCACCCAGTGCCCCATCTATCGAGGAACACCTCAGGACCAGTTTTAGGGGAACGAAACATGGCATAAACATAACAACTCGGAGGTCCGCGCGGAGTTCTCGGATCGGCGCTGGACCCCCCTCCCTGGCGCGCGGAGCGCTCCAGGGGCGGCGCCAGAGGCGCCGCCGGGGGGCCCCAGCGCCGATCCGAGAAATCCGCGCGGACCTCCGAGTTGTTATATTTATGCCACTTTTTTGTTCCCCTAAAACTAGTCCTCAGGACCAGTTCTGCGGGACGGGAAAATGACTACAGCCACTGCTTCTTGTTTGCGCCGCCTTCCAGCCGTCCGAAAAAGAAGCAGTGGTTGTGGCCATTTCCCTGGTGCCAAGCTCAACGAAAATGACCACAACCACTGCTTTGTTGCTGCGGCCTGGAAGGCGGCATCAAAAGAAAAGCAGTGGCTGTGGTCGGTTTCACGCCCCGTAAGTTTGCCTCCTCTGGGCCGGTTTGCCTCCTGGCGAGCACCTCTCCTCCCTCGACAGGTCCTGCTCGCCGACGGCGGCGCCGTCGGGCCGCACCCGCCACTGCCGGCCGCCCGGCGACAGCACGGTCCAGGCCGAAGGCAGGCCCTCGGCAGGGCCCGCCTCCCGGTCGAAGGTCACCCTCGCCTGGGTCGGGAGGCAACTGCTGGGAGGTTTTCGTCGGAAAGATGGAGGAGGATGTAAGCCCCATTTGGGAGCTGGGAGCTGTTACGCCTGAGTGGGCCTCGGATCGGGTTAAGCCG